CCCCCCCCCCCCCCTCCCCCCCTCCCTTCCGGCAAGCTGGCTGGCTACATGTGATCCTGGGCCGACCGGTGCGTCAGGAGAAGGGTGTCCTGCATCCAGATAGAGTCGAACTTGTACGAGTTCTCCCTGCTGTTGATGCCGTGGAACGCGACTCCCTTCGACTTCCCCTCGTACAGCTCTTGGGCCCTACAGCTCATGGAGAAGAGCACCTGACACATCACCTTCCCGAGATCGGAGTCAAAGTACCCGCTGACCTGGACGCGTTGGTTCGGATTGATTTGAGAGGGGTCGGTGGGAAAGGGGGGGAGGGGGGGGGTTAGTAGGACTGTCACAAAGATGAGACTAGTCCGACACTTGCGTTTCAATCGCCAAGACTGGACAGGGAACCCCTGCCGTAAGATTTGATGTTGACACGCCCTCAACTTCTGATGCGATGCTCTCAAGTGTTCCGCGGGTTCCGGGCGAGGTTCTGCGGTCTGTGCGGTCAAGCTCTCCGCCCTTGCCACGAAATTTCAGTTCAAGTTGTAAAACAGTTATATTTCAAGCAAAACAGCGAGGAGCCCCTAGACACACGCCCAGTTCTCAAACGAAGACCCCGGAGATCGTGAAATAGGTTGGGCATTCGCGTTTGAGGCCGGACACGAGATTGTTTTCTTCATTCAGCTTGCATAGCTCACTTTATGATGCATGACATAACAACGCTTGAGTACAGTATTTTTACGATCTCCCGGACGACAAAAAGCCGCTCTATCATGGGTGTGCTTCACCGGGAGTTTGGCGGCATGCGCCGCCACACAAAACGATGCGATATCCAAACGACAATGCGTTCACGTAATGTTTGCATTGAGCCCTGCTGTGGGCGGGTGCGAGACGAAGTAACGGCTAATGATTGAGGGCGGACGTGCGGTGTGTTGAACCATGTAGGTATGTAGAAAACGTGTTGGTGCTGAGAGAGACAGTGCAAGTTCATCGTCGTCCACAGACTGCTCTGAAGGTGTTCGTGAACCGGACGCGGCGGGTGTTACCTTGCAAAAAGGATGACTGACTCTTTTGAAGACTCTGTAGAACGCTAACGTTGTTTCTTCGCCCAAGCAGGAGGAGGACAACGAATGATGCGCACGTGGTGGGTGAGAGCGACGCGCCAGTCGGGGGCGCCACGCCGTGTAAAGTCTGTACGGGGAGAGTCACGCATGGTTGAAAAAAAACGCCGTGGCGACCACGCGACCACATCGTCGCCCCAACGGCGGAGTGTACTTGTATTATACTTCATGGATGCTTTCGTTGTAAGCATGGTTGACGCCACCCGACAGCGGGCAACGCGCGAGAGCAAAGGGAGAGCACCCCACCACCTCACGAGCGCTTGGACATGGTTGTCGCACACGATGATACTGGCGTGAGTGACACTATCGTTCATACTTGTAGCCTGGGTGCTGAGATGAGCGCATGCTACGCTCCCACACTTATTGCTGAGACGCGTGGACCGTTGTAGCAAATTCGCGTTTCAGTTTGTCGTTTTTTGTTGCACTTGAAATCTCGCAGTGTTATGTGAACAGCAGGATGCATGCAAATATGCCAACCAACATGCAGATTCCACATGCATACAGCAGTATACACGTGAGGAAATGGCACAGGCAGGAGGCGGAAGCGTCCGCGAAGCGCCAGCGCGCGAGGGAAGCAGAAGCAGAGAGTACGGCCATCTCAGGACCGACGAGAAAGAGAGTCGGGGAAGCGGCGGTGCGGGGGAAGAAACGGCGACCGGGCACTGCTGTAGAAGCGAGTAGGGCGGCCGAGGCAGCACTTGTGGCGAACTATGTACCCGGCTGATGTTGTTGCGCCCTGTTTCCGTCCCTGCTGTATGCTATACTCCTTTATGTATGTCCTTTGTGTTGCCTTCGGCCTCTGCTGTGTTTCTTTTTCATGACCTCCCTGCCTACTCTGCTGTGTTGGGTAACTTGATCTCCCTTTTGCTGTTGCTTTTGTTTTTGTACGTCTGGCTGTCTGCCCATGCCGCCTTTTTGTCCTGTGTGCTCCATTACTCCCATGCCCTGGTGCGTAGTGCCTGGTGCTGGTTGTTGTTGTTTGTCTTCACATTAAACCGTATGTCAGTTGCTAAATGCCAAAATCTAGCAAAAGACTCTCAGCCCGTGGTCACGAAAGTGCTAGAGCCATCTGAGGATCTAACGAACACGCACACATCTGACGAGAAAAAGGTATCCAAGAGCCCGAAGAGGTACACCTAAAAATCCCTGCAGCACCGTATGCGTGCCCAAAAACTGAACTGCACGTCCGTCCCACCGTTCGACTACAGCAGTAGCATCACCCCCTCCCTGTCCCACTCTATACCAAAACGGAAGATTGCCGACTACAGCATGCTGCTGTCTGAAGTGCTGTCTGTACAAAAACACCATGGTAGGCATGGAACAAGCAGCTGGCGGGGCACAAAGCTGCTGTCTGAAGTGCTGTCAGAATGTGTCTGCGGCCGTACAGTGAAAAAGAACAACCAACCAAAGCCATCATAGCAGCAATTGACAATCACCCGAATCTCTCCCGATCGTCTGTGTTAGGCACTGCAGTGAAAAATATCGACACTAGCTAAGAATCGTTCCACATTGAA